TAAAAAAGAATTAACACCAGGACTTCTCAAATTTTTATAAAAGAGAAGGGAGCACTTTCAAATACATTCTATAAGGCTAAAATTATGCAGATACCAAAATCATACACAAAGACTACAAGAAAAGAATACTGCAGACCAATATTCTTATATTGATGCAAAAACCCTCAACAAAATATTAGCAAACCAAATTCAGTAACACATTAAGAGGATTAGACATCATATTTCAAGTGGCATTTATTTGTGGAATGCCAGGATGGTTCAACATATGAAAATCAATCAATGTAATATACCGCATTAACAGAATGAAGGTCAATAGCCACATGATTATCTCAATTGGTGCAGAAAAACATTTGAGAAAATTCAATACCCTTTCATTTTATTATGAAATAATAAAATAAAATATAAATTTAAAAAAATTGCCACTGAATAATAAAGTTCATATATGAAAATCCCACAACTAACTTTCTACTCCACAGTACAAAATTGAAAGCTTTTCCTCTAAGATTATGAAGAAGGCGATGGTGCCCACTCTCATCACTTCTATTGAATATAGTACTGAAAGTCCTATGCAGAGCAAACGGGCAAGAAAAAGAGGGGAAAAAAAGGAACAAAAGGGAAGATATGCCAAGTGTATAAAATTATAAACCCATAGATTCAGGGAACTTTATGAGCCCCGAGTTGAAGAAACAGGAAGGAAACCACACCAAAGCATATCATAATCAAATCATGGAAAACCAGAGATAAAGAGAAAATCTTGAAAAAAGCTGTTGAAAAAATTAAACAATAAATAGAGAAGAACAATGATAAAATTGACAGCAGAGTCTCTGTCAGGGACCAGCCCTGACATGGACCCTGGGGTTTGCAAGGGACAGTGGAGTTAAAGAGATGAAAAAATACAAGTTAAGAGTGCATAAACTGGGGACCAGGGGACCAACACGAGTGTGGAGGCTGTGAAGGCCCTGAGCTTGGAGGCCTACACCATTTATTGGTGTACGACACAAAGCAAGAATGTGGTAGGGGTGTGGGGGGACATAGCTAGAGCGGTTTGGCATTTCCTTTGAGGCGTATAGAACAAATTCTATTCTAGATTTAATCATTAAATAAGCTAGAGGGGTTGTAGATAGGAACCAGCAAGTCTGGTTACATTCCTGTGTTTCCAAGAGGCATTCCTCCCTTGAGCACAGAGCATGGTATTCCATACGCTCTTTCTTTCTGCGCCAGATAAGCAGGTCATGGCATGACCTTCCTTCCAGCAAGTCTCATCAGGAACAACACATGCCAGAAAACAATAAAGCAACATTTTTAGTACTGAAAGCAAAAAAAAAAAAAACTTTTCACCCTAGAATTCTGTAAATATTTTTTCAGACATATAAAAGCTGAGAAAATGCATATCAGTAAAGGCATTCAGGAAGAGAAAAATATGGTACCAGATGGAAATTTGAATCTAAATAAAGGCATGAAGAGCATTAGAAATGGTAAATATGTGAGCAACTATAAAAGACTTTTATCTCATTTTTAGTCTCTTCTAAAGACAATTTATTGTTTAAAGAAAAAATAAATAAAAAATGTATTGAAGGTTTAAGATATACATAGAAGCAAAATATATAACTGGCACAAATGCCAAAACAAGAGAGAGGTTATAAATATACTGTTCTAAAAACTAAATGCCTTTGGGAGGCTGAGGCAGGTGGATCATGAGGTCGGGAGTTCAAGACCAGTCTGACCAATATGGTGAAACCCCATTTCTACTAAAAATGCAAAAATTAGTCAGGCATGGTGGCAGACTCCTGTAATTCCAGCTGCTCGGGAGGCTGAGGGAGGAGAATTGCTTGAACCCAGGAAGAGGAGGTTGCAGTGAGCTGAGATTGCGCCACTGCACTACTCCAGCCTGGGTGACAGAGCAAGACTTGATCTCAAAAAAAAAAAAAAAAACAAAAAACTAAATGCTTGACAAAAGTTTAGTTTTTGATTAATGTGATCAGCATTTTAAAATTCATTTGCATTTCATAAGACTTTAATTTCATATTTGAAAATCAAACTCAACAGATTGTAAGTCGCCAACCACTTTGACTAAACTTTGGGTCCTTACTAAACATATAAGTTTGAGAATGGTTAACAAACCACACTGCTAATTTGCTATTTGACTTTCCTGAGATCCTTTATAAATTAAAGCTTGGCCTTTTCTCAAAACACTTGTTTCATGAAAGTTTAAATAGTAAACAGGAATAACTGAAATCGTCTTCATACAACTTTAGCCATATTCCATAGCACTCATCTTTATTAAGCTTTTGTATCCATAGAACTGAGTCCAAATTTGAAAGTTACATTTGTATGAAAACACTTTATCATTTTCAAAATATCTTCTTGATTTCAGGAACAAAAGGAATATGTTCTATGCTTGATTAAATATTTGAGATTTACAGAATTTTGTCCTCAAAATATCAATTTATTTATTCATATATATAAATGTCCAGACTTCTTACAGTACTCATTAGAAGGATTTTAAATTGATATGTTTTATTAAGATTCAGCTTTATTTTAATGTATAGTTATATTTCTTTTATTATGTGCCTCTAAATTATGACACATTTTTGAATGCTAAAAAAATTCAAATAAAGGATAATCAGAAGCTTTTGTCTAATACAAGTTTAAATGTTTTTCTTCTCAATGAAGTCTGTCAAGAAAGGTTATGGCCTGATAATAAGAGGAACAAGGATTTTGATTTCCCCGGTATTCTAATCCTCTAGCAGCTAATAGATATTTTAATTGCATCATCCAAATGCAGCATAATGCCATGTTCAAAAGTGTTTTAACTAGTTATCAAAAGTAGGAATTAATTACATAGCTTTCTATTTGGAACACTTTAATGGAAGGAAAAGCTGTGCATTTTACTGAAAGAAGATGAAAACTAGAACAAACAGACCTGGCCTATAAACCTGGATCTCTCCTTAAGAAAGTAATTTTACTACTCTCAGCTAATATTTACAGATCTGAAAAATGGAAATATATCTCCCTTATAGGCATCGGCCAATAATTCATGAAACTGATCATAAAAGTTGCTTACAAATCGTAGCTATAATTGTCCAACTAGGAAATTTTACATAATGTATTCATTATTCATTTTTCTTTAAAAGTTGAATTCAGGTAGGTAGAATTAGACTTTTTAAAATTATTAATTTCTACTGTCATCCATACTATTCATATGTTTCTACTGGTAAGCACTGGAATCACTGCTCTGAACAAGACAAGAAGTCTGCCCCCATGGAGTTACTTTCTGATAGGAAATAATATTTTTTTAAAGACGAAAGTAAATACATGGTAGTCATAGAAGTATTGTCGAACAAATGAAGCAATGAGATGGAATGATGTGAAAAGGGCTGTGGAAACAATTTAGTGAAGATGGTTGGGGGAGACTTCTCTGAATCATGACTTCTGAGCAGAATCATGACTGTCAAGAAAGAAAGAAGAGAACCCCAAGGCAGAAAGGGCCTTGTCCGTTCAATCCACCACAGCAAAGCCACAAGGTGGAGTACACTGAAACAGGGCCTGAATGGTTAGAGATGAATTGAGGAGCAATAGGGAGCCATTGGAGCAGTGAAGTTTAAATTTAAAAAGATTTTCCTAAGCAGCTGTTGCAGGTACTCAGAGGAGAGATAAGGGTGCTGGATGGACAGTAGCAGAAAAAGTGTTGAGACATGTTTAAATTCATAAATATATTTTTGAAGCTAGAGCTGATAAGGGTGAGAAATATAGGACACTCAAGAAAGGCTACATATGTTTTGTTTTGTGCAACTGGAAGACAAATGGCACCACGTATTCATCCAAGAAAGCAAGGGAAGAGACATATTTCAGGATAACAGTCAAGAGCTCTGTTTGGGCATGTTAAATTTCAGATGCTGATATAGAGAGTCAAGTGAATATACAAAGGAAGCAAGTGGACTTTTAAAAATGTCATTATTGGGCTTCTATCTGCTTCAAAATTATTTTCTGTATTTTTCATGTGCCAAATCTTGTTGATGCTGGATGTACTTTAAGGTGTTGAAGTGATCTTTGATTATAATTCTCTCAAATTACTTTCCGTGCAGAAAACTCTCCCGGACTATATCATAAAATAATTCCTTAAGTTTTAAACGTATCTGTCTGAACCTTGCTGCATCTTCCCTAGGTCATGAATGCACCATGTCTTAGTAGGATCACAACACATGGCAGCCCCATTCATTAAGCATTTACTGAAGGATTTTTGTTTTCTATGTTATCGCAGGATATTCAAGGTGTGAGGTTGTACCAGATGCTATAAAGCAAGACTCAGCAAACTATGGCCCACAGGCAAAATCTAACACTCTGACTTTTTCAAAATAAAGTTTTATTGGAACACAGTTATTCCTATTCTTTAGGTAGTATATGGCTGCATTCACACCAAAAGGCAGAGTTGAATAGTTATGATAGAGATTTATGGCCCACAACCTAAAAAATATTTAGCCCTTTAAGAAAAAGTTGGTTGAAATGCTTTTTCTTAAAAATCTTCTCTGGGCCAAGCACGGTGGCTCATGCCTGTTATCCCAGTGCTTTGGGAGGCTGAGGCGGGCAGATCACGAGCTCAAGAGATCAAGACCAGCCTGGCCAACATGGTGAAATCCCATCTCTACTAAAAATACAAAAATTAGCTGGGTGTGGTGGCTCACACCTGTAGTACCAGCTACTCGGGAGGCTGAGGCAGGAGAATTGCTTGAACCCAGGAGGCAGAAGTTGCAGTGAGCCAAGATCTCGCCACTGCACTCCAGCCTGGGTGACAGAGCCAGACACCATCTCAAAAAAAAAAAAAAAAAAAAAAAAAAACCTTCTTGTAATCAGGAAGAATCATGATTTTATGATTTGAAAACAGTGAATCAGAAATTAGCTAAAGTTTATACTCATTTACCACCTGAAACAATTGTGAGAACACATCCGATAGTCAACATTTAATTGTATTGATTTTTTTTTCTTTTTTTTTCCCTCTAAAGCTGAGACTCAGAGTACAATTAAAATAATGAAAATACCAGGTAAGTTGCTTTTTTTTTTCTCTCTCTCCCTGAGTATCTTCATGGGTAAAATCTCAAAAACAAATTAGACCAATCAGTTTTGGGGCAGGGAGAAATAGTACAAGGGAAAACATTACGTCACAAATAAAATGTTTAGAAAATCTTGAGTTTCAAAAAATGCAGACCAGGAGAACATATAAAGACATGTCTAAATACTCTGTGACTAAGGTGAATGGAGCCAGCTCTAGTAAACGTATAAAGCCTGTGAGATTGCCCTCTGTCCTCTGCCACTGAACGCACTGTTCCTGATCTGTTTTTATTGTCAGTGTGCCTAGTCCCAGAAGTACAAAGTGTCTTCTCTTACTTTCTAACAAAATATGGCACTAGTATTCAAAAGATGATGTTAGAAACCACAATTATCAATCTAAAATGTTATCATTCCAAGAAGTGCTCATATTTGCCACCCTTAGTTCTAGACTGAATGTGTTTTGTATAATGGAGCAACAGGAATTGAAGATCGTTGGGCAAAGGAAGATGGCAATGTTGAATCTTGCTGTCTTGAAATCATAGTTATCTGAAAGATTTTTGTCTTTCCACATTCTACCTGGTACTTATACAAATGACAAATCTTATAAGCTCTCAATGCTGGTCATCTTTGATATATATAAACTAAGTGAAAACTAACACAAAAACAGAAAAACAAATTCTGCATGTTCTGACTTACAAGTGGGAGCGAAGTGATGAGAATTCATGAACATGAAGAAGGAAACAGCAGAAACTGGTGTCTACCTGAGGGTGGAGGGTGGGAGAAGGGAGAGGAACATTAAAAATAACTATTGGGTACTAGGCTTAATACCTGGGTGATAAAATAATTGGCACAACAAACCCCCATGACACGACTTTACCTATATAGCAAACCTGCACATGTATCCCTGAGGCTAAAAATAAAGTTTAAAAAAATAAAAATAAATAAATAAAAAATGTGAAATAAACCTATAGGTTCATATAACTTTTTAAAAACTAGAAAAATATAAAGAAAAGAGTGACACTAAAAATTGAGTGCTTTATTTTCACAGCAGATATTCTATAATCACCTTAGTCTAACTACTACTCAGGTTTTCAAGGAATTTGAAGCAAATTATTATGTTTTTAACTTTTAATAATTATCTTCTTCTACATCATACATTTTATTATTAAAGAAGTCATTTTATATTAATTCCCTCTACTTCACTAATCACCATATTTTTTTATTGTTTACATCTTCATTGACTAAAAATTGGCACACACTAGAGGAAAAACAGCAAAACAAAACAAAAACAGTGCACCAGTCAGAGAAGACTGACGCAGTTCTGGGAAGAGATTTTTTTCCCTCTGCTTCATAGATTAACTATCAAGGAGAAGTCAGAGATGATGAATTGGGAAGCTGCCAAATTGTCTGTCTTTTAAAAGAGGGACTGAAGCATCCTTCATTTTTTGTTTAAAGAAATTTTATTTACAAAATGCCAGCTATACATTTAATTGATTTTAGTGGAATAAAGAGCTCATTTATGCTATTTTAATTTTTTGAGTTATGTAAACTAATTTTCCTAAGCCAAATAATAGACAAACAATGTATTTGAATAGTAGGTTAGAAAGAAATGAGACTGGATCAATAAGCCACTAGAAAATTGAGTTATATTTTTTTACATTCAAACTTCAAATATGTATTGCAGCTAAAGACTAAATCCAGATTCACTATTCCTCAAAAGATAAATTAACACATTTATTAACAGGGTATTCTCTATACTTCTGTTGACAAGTCTAATAATTTGTGTTTTTTTCAGATTAAAGAATTCTTTAGTCTTATGTATTTGTCATCAAAGATATTAAAATGCCAAACTTGTGAAATATTTATCCAAGGGATTAAGGACAGGAATATTATTTAAAATAATTCATATTTCTGTTTTAGGTAGAAATTGACATAAAATTATAGCCCATAGAATTACTAGTTCTTTTTCCATTCTATAAATATAAGCAAATATGTATCCAGTCTTTGAATATATCACATAAAGTTCTCAACGTTTGATATTTTCTTTAACATTATGCAGATAGTTTTAATTTCCTTGAAAAGTTACATTTTTATACTACTTCAAAAACTACTACTAAGGGTCTAGAAATTGAAGATGATTTATATAGAACCCTTTTGGGGAGATTAAAAACAAGTAAGGACTCTATATGAAATATAAATTATGACCAGTTATACATATCATATTTTAACATTATAAAATAAAAATAGATCCATGTTGGTGACATCAGTAAGACGGTCAACTAAACAGCTTCTAGTGCTATTCCCACTTCCCACAAAAAAACTGAAAATAATGAATAAGCAGCTACATTTTGATCAAAATAACTAAAGGAAGGCTCTGGAGAACAGCAGCAGAAATCCTGTAGACTACTGAAACACAGGATGGCCACATAGGAAAGGAGAGGAAATACCTTGCATCTGCCATCCCATTTCCCTAGTTGGGATCAGCTCAAAATCAGAAGAGACCCCTTCCTGCAGGGAAAAGGTAAGCCAGAAGACCCCAACAGCTTTCATCAGCACCACGGATACACACAGTCTTCGCACTAGGGAATTCTGCAGTCCTTACAGAGTTTGAGGCCAGCTGAGGGAGCTTCCCAGAGTCTACATACTAAGTTCTCCCTAGAGAAAGAACTGATGCTGTGCCCCTCCCTCCTCTTCTCAGCCCCTATCCCTTGCCTCATGGCTCATGCTGCTACTGCCCTGTACAGTCTTGGGAACAAGTGTATCCTGCTCCAAGGGTGAGTATGCATCGCACCCCCAATCCCTGATGTTTTGTTACCACTGCAACAAACCCATTCAATAGCACACCATTCTCCAGCCAAGCTGCTACTACATCCTACCCCTAGGGGCAAGTTCCATGGAATTACTCCATTCCCCACATTCCAGTTACTGTGAACCCTCCTCTCTGGGCTGAGCTGAAATGGCACTTCAATACCTGGGATCTCAGATCTTCTACACACCAGAGCAGGCATGCCCCTCAATGTCGCAGATGAGGCAGCATACCCCACCACCACCATCAGGGTATCACAAACTTCCAGCACACTACAGCAGTCAACCCCCAGCCCTGACACCACAGATAAGACAGCACACTACCCACAGGGGCTCAGAGCCTTTGGCGCACCAGAGCAATTGCACACCCCAGTGCCATAGTTGATACAGTACTCTACCCCAAAGGGATCCAGAGGCACCACTGACCCATATAGCCATGATTTCCTGGGCCAAACAAATATGGCACCTCATATCCCAAAGAATCAGTGCCTGGCTTGAGCTGTGCCACCCAGCCGTCCAGACCAAACAGGCACATGTCCTGCCTACCCAAAATTGGGCTATATCCCTGCAGTCTGAACTGCTGAGACACACTGCCTCTTAGGGGACTAGAGTCATTGTGCTGGACACCTCCCACCAAGGTCCAAGCTACAGCAGTGTCTTGCCATTTCTGCATCATTGCTGCTGCTGTACCTGGCCTTATAGAGCCTGGGATAGTAGTATTTCCCACCATTCCAGGGTCCATAGTCACCACTACATAACACCTCATCATCAAGGGTCTATGCTTTTGCTGACTTTGGTGACTCCTGGTCCCAAATTACAGCTGTTCTCTGCTCTCTGGGCCCAAGCTTCTAGAGAGCTCCTTTTTCTACCAAGCTATGTCAATGGTGTACCATGTCCACCAGGGTCACAACCTCAGCTATATTTCAGCAGTCTGGGCCTAAGCCACTGAGATATGTCTCAGAGGAACAGACCCTGGCTTACTGGGGAAACCGCATTCACTTGTGCCTTGGAAAGTGAACTTGTGCCTCAAGTCCAAGGTGCTACAGTAGTCTCACAAGACACTGAGCCTATTACCTATATCCACAGCTACTCTGATCACCTATGCCCTGGCTCCCAGTGCTTCTATAGTTGCCTGTGGGCCATATTAGACCAAACACAAAAATAGATCTCTTCACCTAAGACTCCTTACTGTGGGAAGGACAAGAACAGGAGAATTTTTAAGCCTTTGCCCTAGCAACCTATGCAGCTACCACCACTTCCACAAGTTCCTAAAAACTAGACCACTGAGGCACCTACATTCATTGCTGACATTGATCACAACTAACAAAGCTGCACAAAGATAACCCCACTGTGCCTACATGTAATCAGAGCCACCCTGCCCAACTGGCAGCCTCAGATCCACCTGCAACTGAAAGTAGGGGAAGAGGTGGCTTCCCCTTCTAGAGTTTGAAAAAGGTAACTACATCACTAAATGTCCTGACATCAATGCACGGAACAAGAAACATTAAAAAGCAAGGAAGCATGGTACCACAAGGCAACCGTATTTCTCCAGTAACTGGCCTCAAAGTAGCAGAAATTACACACTGTCTGAAAAGTGATTTAAAGTAATGAGCTGAACTGGGTGCGGTGGCTCATGCCTGTGATCCCAACACTTTGCAAGGCCAAGGCAGGCAGATCACTTGTAGTCTGGAGTTCAAAACCAGCCCGGCCAACATGGCAAAACCCTGTCTCTACTAAAAATACAAAAATTAGCCATGTGTGATGGTGCACACCTGTAATCCCAGCTACTTGAGAGGCTGAGGCAGGAGAATCACTTGAATCTGGGAGGTGGAGGTTTCAGTGAGCTGAGATCACTCTACTGCACTCCAGCCTGGGAGACAGAGTGAGACGTTGTCTCAAAAAATAATAAGGATGAAAATGAAATAAAATAGTGAGCTGAAAAACATAGATTCAAGAGAATACAAATAAATGATTTAATAAAATCAGGAAAACAATTCATTATATGATTAAGAAATTCAATGAAAAGATAGATCTCATAAAAATAGAACCAAACAAATCTTGAAGCTGAAGAATTCAATCAAGGAAGTAAAAAATATGCTAGAGAACTTCAACAGCAGACTAAATCAAGCAGAAGATAAGGCCGAGGTGGTTGGATCACCTGAGGCCAGGAGTTCAAGACCAGCCTGGC